CTACCAATACCTAAACTCCCATAATTCTAAGATGCCATGTTTCTCAAATCAACAAGTAAAATAAAAATAAATAAAAAAAATAAAAAATAAAAAATAAAAGTTCAAACTTGAAACCTAGCAATATGTACACCTACAGCTATACCGTTAATTCCCCGGCAACGACGCCAAAATTTTTATCACGCCCAACAATGCATTATAAAAAGGACTAAGCGATCGTTGCAAATATAATCCGGTTTACAAGTCCGGAGTCGAACCCCACAGAGAATTAAGGCTTAGCTACAGTCGTTCAATATTGCTAAGAAACACAATTCCAAATAATTTCCTAATTATAGAGATTATAATATTTATTTCTATCTAATTAACTAACAGCTATTATAAAGCAGTAAAATTATCAACTAACAAGGATGAAATTAGAGACAATCCTAAGGAGGTCTAGAGTTATGACTTCCCCAATTATCGGAATCCTTCCCGCTATGCCTTCTATAATTTCGCCTAAGTATTCTCTACCAATCGTGAGTACTTCAGGTGTCATAATTCTCTTCCGCGCAACTACCACAATTTACTAGACATATTCTTTCGAACTATGCTAGCTGGCACTAGTTTATCGCTCACTAAGATCGCACCAAGGTTTCGTTATTCCTAATCCCACCTTTAAACCCTTTGTATTGATTCCTAACATACGTCAAGAGTGATGTTGTTCAACAACTACCTAAATATTTATCCTTTTTCCAAGCAATACATACTAAATAGGCACAGTCAATTGATGGCCATTCAATCAACAATAATAAACACGTAGTTGAACAAGTAGAGAAATCCAACGGCTCAATTATATAAAAACACAACAAGAATTTATCCTACAAAAGATTCCATCAAAACCCGGATAACAAATTAGTTATTCATAATATTATGCAAAACTACAACACTAGAATTCATAACCAATAATGAAAATAGGAAGAAGGAAGTGAAAAACTCGTAGAAAAATTTTTCGCCTTGCTCCTAGTGTGTTCTTGCCTCCTTCGGTCAAATCTTTCTCTCTAAGAACGTCCAATCCCCTGACTCCAAAAACGTCCCTCTCCAAAAATGTCTTCTTCCTCTCAAAAGTGAGTTTAAGGACTATTTACATGGGATAGGGTTAGCATGGGGCGAAAATAATACAAGCCCACTTTGAAACAACCTTTTTAGGTTAGCTCGTCCACTCTCTCGTGCGCACGGGAGAGTGAACGCGCAAAATACTTCTCTTTTTCTTTTACTTCTAAGTCTCTCGTGCACTTCCATGCCTTTTTGCCATACTTCGCTTTTTTTTTCTCAAGCTTTTCCTCAGCTAGCTCGTTCACTCTCTCGTGTGCACGAGAGAGTGCACGAACAAAGTACTTCTTGCCTTTTGGTCCCAAATCAACTTCTTTTGCTCATCTTTCATCCAACTTTCTCCTACACATAAGAATGCACGTAATGAGCATAAGTCAATACAAAAACTCATATAACCGCCCGTGACCACACACGTTATGGGATGAAAGTACACCTAAAAATATACATTTTTGGCCGTTTATCACAAAGCTTCAATGCTTTTTAATGGCTGTCAATGGTGGAGAGTCAAACACCTTAAAAATTTATTGATTGACAGTTTCAATTTGAACACTAATTGTGAAACATGAAAGGAAATTGCTAAGTTAAAACGATTGAAATCCATTGATAAATTCCATTAAAACTCTATACAACAACAAAGCATAAAAAAGTAGAGAACATCAAATGAAGAAAATTGGGGTAAAACAAAGAAGGAGAGAGAGAGAGAGAGGGAGGGGGGGGGGGACAAGTATAAAGGGATACGGAAATAACTGATATTCCTTATTCAATTCCTAAAATAAAGGGATGCTCATTTAAAACTTGTTTGTATATAATTGGTAAATTGTATATGACCATGTAATTAAATTATAAATTGAGTAGGGAGGGTAATAATGTTTTATATAGTGTATAGGAATGTAAAAATCCCTTAAAAATGTATATATGATACCGATTATATCATCCTGTTATGTTACCTTTTGAAAACATAGAGGAAGATTTAAACATAGAGGTACGTCTGCATTGACGCAATAAATTGTAATAACTTCTCCCAAAAGTACTTGCGTTTTGAATGGAGGAAGTTTCATAATAGTTTCGTTCCCATACAATATTTTAAATTTATTTATAAAGTTATCTCAAATTTGAGTATTAACCGCTATAATTATCATTTTTTTATAATTCATAAACAACCTATTATTAATGCCTTAAATAAGTGATTCAGTTACACCCTTTTTTTTCTCTCCTCTTCTCTTTTACTATTATCAACCGCTTCTCTCCACCCAAAACTAGCTTAATTGAGTGTTAAACTTAATACTAGACTAAAAATTTTAAACCACCATTCTCCCTATTATAAGACAATAACCATTATCTCCAAAATTCCTACTGTGTAAATATCACATGTGATAAGAATTTGTAATCATTTGAGTGCTGCCTATTAGAGTTCAAGTAAAATGTTCACCTCCGTCGATGTAGTACCACTAGCAACAACAATAGAAACTCGACGACGATATTTATTAAATGCGAAATTCGAAATTTCTCCACCCAAATCATCCAGTTTCCATCAATTTTTAAGTTTCAAATAAACATGATTTAGTGCACATGAGTCAATCTGGAATTCATTCTCTACTTTTCTTTCTTTAATAAATCGAGTAAGAAAAGAATAATGTATAGTACAACTGCATACAAATTAAAAGTAAATTTCGAATTTGATACAAACTTGATACATCTACGACAACTTACAAACTAAAAACAAATTTAATTCACTAATTATATAGTATACAACTTATTTATAACTTATTCACACTTTCATACATCATTTTACCTAGTTAAATACAACTACAACATAATACAACTTAAATACAATTTTTATATAATATGTCTTTTGTATGTATTTTCTATATATTTTATAATTTAGAATCAATTCAAGTGAATGTACCACAATATTCTAATTTGGAATACATTATTCACACTAACTACACTACAATATTCTAATTTGAAATACAGTATCCAAATCAAATATACCACATTATTCTAAGAGTACAATATTCAAACCAAGCATGCCATATTATTCTAATTTAGAATACAATATACAAATTAAATATATCATAATATTTTTTAATTTAAAATATTATATTTAAAGTAAACATACCACAATATTCTAATTTGTAATACATTATTTAAACCAAACATACTACAATATCCTAATTTGGAATACAACATTCAAACAAAGAATAGTACATTATTCTAATTTGGAATATAGTACCCAAACCAAACATACCATTCAGCATTCAAACCAAGTATTCCATAATTTTCTAATTTGGAATACAATATTCAACCTAATCATACTACAGTATTCTAATTCGCAATACTTTATCAAATCAAACACACCATAATATTCTAATTCAGAATATACAACATTTTGTTTTGGACTATAGTAGGTGTATGGTCAAAATAAATTTATAAAGTAGATATACAGAGTAAAATAAATTTATTAAATAGGTATGCAGAATAAAATAAATATTTTAATTATATTTAATGTTAACTAATGTTTCTATAGGCATACCGCGCGTAAATTTCTCCTTTGAATATCCGTTATGATTATATTGTCGACATTATATTTTGACAGTCAAAAGCAGATGTATTTACCCAATATCTTTTTCTCTAACTATGTAAATGTGTATATGTATATACCGAGCTTAAATTCTCTAAACTAACAATGGAGTATAATATTTAGTCAATTATATCACCTATAAAGTAATTATAGGCAATCTTTTTATGAACATTAAATGGTAACCTGTTACAACTAGTAACTAACTTGCTATTATACTATTAATACATATAACTTAAATTCATGTATATGACCAGGAGCAGCTCAAGTATATGCGAGGCCTAAAGCCAAACTTTAATATGAGGCCTAAATTTTTAAAAGAAAGTTATAAGATATATTTTTATTTGAAGTCTATTCTTCTAGCTCTTTGAGATACACACTTGTTAATAATCTCTTTTTATAATTAATTTTTTCTAATAATTTCTTTTCAATTGATAATATAGTCAACTCTTTTTTTTTTTTGAGATATTGTTGATCTTAGATAAAATTTTATAGAGCAATAGAAATATAGAACTATATTGGAGGCTTAAAAGTATTGTAGAACACTTGAACTAATGAAATCTTGGAGAAAAAGATGAGTAATGAAATCTTTTAGAAAGAAGGTGAATAAGAATATTAAAGAGAAAGACAGAAAATATGTAGGAGTTGAAATATGAAGAGAATGGAGAAAAGAAAGATTGACGTGGACAAATTAAGAAAGGAAGAGTAAAATTTTTACACGTGATTTAATGAAAGAGTAAGAAGTGAAAATTAAAACTTTGGAAAAACTATTCATTCCAAATTTGGGGGCCTAAGGCGCAAGCCTTACGGCTCAAAACAGTGGAGCCGGCCCTGTATATAACTTAAAGTCCGTTTAAAAAAGAATAACCTCTTTTTGAATTTGAAAATAATTTAACTTCAACTTTTCATTTTACCCTTGAATAGTTTAATTAATTTTATAGTCACATAAATCTCATAATAAGTTTAAGACCATAAGTTTCAAAAGTGTTACAAGTACATAAATATTATGATATATTTACACGCAATATGTTTCGAAAGTACTTTTTATTTTTTAAAATTTCGTACCCAATTAAATAGGTACGTACTAAATTTACCTATGATGTACTCTAAAAAGGAATGAGTGGAGTTTGTTTCTAATTTTCCTTGACTTCTTTTAACAAACATACAAAAGTTAGTTAGTTACCTAAAAGCCAACCTTAAATCCGTCTTTGGTCAGCCGTTATTCCCGCCATATGTTTCTTTCCCAAAGTCCATTGTGTCTGTTATACCTCTATGTACTTCCTTCTTCTTCTCTATTGTTGGAAACTCACCTTGGATATATATATATATAAAGAAACTTTCTCTTTATAGATGGCATCCTTCTAAGCAGCAGTCCAAAAGCGAGTCACTGGACACAAACATTTCTCCAGTGATTCGCAAGTAATACCTAAAAAACAACACAAAAAAGATTACGTAATACAAGAGAAAATAATTTTTAAAAAAATAGAAAAAGAGATATATATATATAGCAGCATTAAAAAGGATAAAAAAGCTATGGCCTTTGTTAGTGGGAATTCAGTTTTGTTAATATTGCTTATATCGTTAGCTTCATTAGTCCCAAATTTGCATGCCGGAATTGCTGAATTTGATGCATATTTGGAAAAGCAGGCTAAGGAAGCGCTCAACTCTTCCCTTGCTGCATACAATGAACATCCTGAAGAAATCACTGATACATTCAATAGAGAAGTCGGAGAGTAAGTAGTTTCTTCATACTTTCTCTTTTCATTTTTCTACATGCAGGCCTAGCGAGAAATAGGCTACATTAATGGAAGAAAAAGATATATGACGGCGATATTATTTTTTTGAAATTAAGTTTTCGTTAAGTTAGCACATTTACTTAATTAATTAGGTCCAATATTTGCTAGAAGTTTTTTGGCTTGTTGGAGATACTTATATGGTAGAAGAAAATATAGAGAACTTCTAGTACTAGAGAAACTGATTTTTATAATATTTCACTGAAACGAGCTTAAATGGAGGGGCATGAATAATGATGATTTATATAGCCAAAATTCCAATTAACTTGTTTGGTATTGTGGCATAGCTAGTGCTGTTTCTTTGATTTTACTTAAACATGTTTTAAGAATAATGACTTGAAAACTACTTGATGTATTATGCAGCACATTGTTAAATATTACAAGCTTAAGGAGGCATCTAAAGGAAAAAAGTAGTTGCATGGCAACCAATCCAATTGACAGATGCTGGAGGTGTGACGAAAACTGGGCAAAAAACAGGAAAAAGCTAGCAGATTGCGCTCGGGGATTTGGCCACAAAACAACTGGTGGTAAAGCAGGAAGGTACTATGTTGTAACCGATGACTCGGATGATGACGTGAAGGATCCAAAGCCGGGGACCCTTCGTCATGCTGTGATCCAAGAGGAGCCATTGTGGATTATCTTTGAGAAGTCAATGGTAATTAAGTTGAAGGAAGAACTGATGATCACAAGTGACAAGACGATCGATGGCAGGGGAGTTTCTATTCACATTGCCTATGGCGCTGGTTTAACTATCCAATTTGTGCATAATGTCATAGTCCACAACATTAGGATTCATCATATTATATCTACCTCAGGTGGAATGATAAGAGATTCTGTTAAGCATATTGGTATTAGGACAGTGAGTGATGGAGATGGTATTTCCATTTTTGGTTCCAACCATATTTGGATTGACCATTGCACTTTGTCCCAATGTACTGATGGCCTCATTGATGCCATCATGGCTTCCACTGCAATCACCATTTCTAACTGCAAATTCAATCATCACAACGACGTAAGTTTATTTTTCTTTAATACTCTTACTCCCGTGGAAAATCATATACATTTGATTAGTCAGTATCATTAATAATCATTAACAATGGCGATTCAGGTGATGCTTTTGGGGGCAACTGATGCCTTCCCACAAGATTCAATAATGCAAGTCACAGTTGCATTCAATCGGTTCGGAAAGGGATTGATTCAGAGGATGCCAAGGTGCAGGTGGGGATTCTTCCATGTTGTCAACAATGACTACTCTCATTGGCAAATGTATGCAATTGGTGGCAGTGCTAATCCAACCATTATCAGCCAGGGTAATCGTTTCAAGGCCGCTAACAACCCTAACACTAAGCAGGTAAACTTCACCATTCATATATGATTATATTAGGTAGGTTCACAAGTATCTATTGACTTATATTATGTGTATTGCTGACATACATGATGCTAAATGAAGGTAACTAAGAGGGATTACGCGCCAGAATCCGTGTGGAAGAACTGGCAATGGGTATCAGAGGGTGATTTGTTCTTAAATGGGGCTTACTTTGTGGAGTCAGGGCCACAAAACAAGAAAAAATCTGCATTGACTAAACCGCATAGGATCAAGTTCAAGCCTGGTTCATATGCAGGCCGACTCACTCGCTATGCTGGTGTGCGCAAATGCAAAATCGGCACACCTTGTTAATCAATGATGTGCATAGTATTATGCATCTGTAGTTTCACTTCTGAGGGCTGGAAGGAGCACAGATAGATTGGTGTTTTTTGACAGCAGAAGAAGGAAAATAGGAGAAGAAAGAAATGGCTCCGATCCAATAACTAGTGTTTGTCCTTTTGTTTCTTCTATGCTATTTTTTTTTATTTAGTTTCTTTCCCTGGCTGGATTGCCTTAGAGAGATGAGAGCAGTTAGGAGGGAAGAAAAGGAAAGTGTAGGTGTCGTGAAAGAATGAACCAATTCTTGTGTTAAAAAAAAAAAAAGGTAACTTTGATTTCTAGAAATCTAAGTTGTCTGTGTGTATTCAATTTTCTCTGTACGTATTCAATAAAATATAGGCCGTATGTTCCCAAGGGGGCATTTTACTGTGAGCAAACCTGTTATTCCCTCCGTTCACTTTTGCTTGACACGTTTTTACTTTTCATGTCCCTTAAGAAATAATAAATAAAATGTATAATTTACTATGAAACTCATATTAATTGATGCATATTTTATTGGATTTGAGAAAATGATTTGAAATGAGTAATAAATACTATGGATATAACAGGAAAAAAAAACTTGTCTTCTCTTGATATGCGTAAAGTGACAAGTAAAAATGAAAATCTACTTTTAGTATACATACCAAGTAAAAATGAACGGAGGGAGTACTTACAAACTAATAACAATAGATGCTCATATTTTGTGAGCATTGCAACTTGTCACGACCCCAGTTCGCCCTCCGTGAACTGTCGCGACGGCACCTAGTCTCTACAACTAGGTAAGTCTAACAAATATGGGGAAAAAAAACAGTTGCGGAAAAGAAAGTAATTACAAACCGAGATAACAAAGCTAAACAGTGTTCTCATGCCGCCGGCATATAACAGTACAAGAATCTCAATCTAACACTCCCAAAATCCGGAACCCCATGAATCACAAGCTAAAAGATTACATAATAAGCTCTAACTCCAGAAATCTCTACCAACAAGGGAAATACAGAAGGGGCTATACTAGTACTGAGAATAGAAAGGGACTCTTCGGTCTGCGAACGCGGCAGATATACCTCAGAGTCTCTACAAAGCGCCTCGCCTCAAGCGTGATAAGACTGAGTGGAAGTACCTGGATCTACACATGAAAAACATGCGCAGGAAGGGCATGAGTACACCACAGTGGTACTCAGTAAGTGCCAAGCCTAACCTCGGTCGGGTAGTAACGAGGAAGGTCAGGGCCCTACTGAGGTTAAATGAAATACAAGGTATAACAATATCGAATAAGACAGTATAGTTAAGTGCAACAGTAAGAAGTAACACAGGATAGAAAGAATAACAACAGCTATAACAGAGACAAAATAATCACGAAAAGGAAATACAGCTCACACAGAGATAACAACCGGGGATCTCCCAGGATACCGTCTTGTAGTCCCAAATATAATTATCCAGTGGATCTCCCGGGATACCGTCCCGTAGTCCAACTCATAGTGCGCGGGGATCTACCGGAATCCCGATCCGTAGTCTCATATGTAAAAGTGCAGGGGGATCTCCCGGAATACAAATCCGTAGTCCCAAAGTAAACATACAGGGGGATCTCCCGGGATACCGTCCCGTAGTTCTAAAGTAAACACACAGCAGCAACACAAAAGAATACTTAATTCAATTCAATTTCCATACCAAGTAAAACAGGTATTTCTAGCCTAGCATGCTATCACGCCCCGAACCATGGCCTGGGCGTAACACGGCACTCGGTGCCTGACTGCATGTGACCGATACGATGGACCGAGGGGGGGTCCGCCAGAGAAAATGCAACACGATAGAAGAGTTCGCTCCGCCGCGTAAGATCCTCGAAGGGCATGGAAATTTGACTTTGATGGCACGGCTAATCAAAATGGGTAGCCCCCTTCCTACTCCAGCTAATGGAAAAATGCCTTTGAATGGTCGTAATCGTCGACAACCCAACCGACGTCCACCATAGGCTCGGCGAGCTGGTAAGGCCTAAAGCCTATCATTGACCGAATAGCGAACTTAGCTTCAAAGCTTGAAGTGAAGGCTTTACCTTTCCTTTCCTTTCTTCAAACGGAACGAAAATAGATAGAATCAGGCCGATTCCCGAAATGCGCGAACCAACTGTATGGCTGGATCGACATATGGTATAACTATGAGCTAGAGGTAAATGTAAAACATGATAATCTGCTAAAAGGTCTGACTGAAATATCATAGATGCGGAAAATACTGAAAGGTCTGCAAGTATAAACAAGTAGCCGACAAGGCTAACACATGAAAGCCTGCTAATATCTGACTGACTGGGTTATAGTCTACGAAGCCTCTAAGGAATACTGAAAATGCCAACTGTTTACCAGGACAAGGTCCCCGGTATACCTTATTAACTGAAATTCTATAATGACTAAAACAAAAGAGAGATAAGGCCCCGAAAGACTGGGGCTCACCAACAGCTGATACGAGATGTCCTAACAAGCAGAATCGTCAACCTGAAAATCGTTACCTGCATCGCGAGATGCAGGCCCCGGGCAAAAAGGGACGTCAGTACATTTGAATTGCACTGGTATGTAAAATAGCTGAACAAAAGAGCTGTAAATACTGGAACTGAAACTGAACTGCTAGCTGATAAACTGATAACTGAACAAGGAAGTAAGGATGTGAATACTCCCTCTCCTGAATCAGGAACTGAGAATCATACTGTAATAAATGATACTGAAATAAAGATCCATACCAAGTGACATGATACTGTAATAGTGAATAGGATTAGACTGAGATGAATATTCATAATAAGTTGATCTGTCATAACTGAGACTCATAGAATATCCAATAATTATAAAACTATGCCATCCAGAGAATAGAAGTTCTACTACTATTCAGGGAACTAGGTCATAGTTACTTTCTGAGGAAACTGGTAAGGGTCATTATGAATATGACGTAGGTAGAATCATAGACATTCCCAAACGTAAAGAGTCAGCCTTACATACCTTAACTTCCGGCTCTTGAGCGTAATACAACGTTTGTCAACCCTTTCAACTTTAATCTATAGCAATACAAGTCAAAGGGATTCCATATTAGCTATATTGCTCATGCTTTGGTCACTTAAGCATTTCATCAAACACTTGGTGAAAATAAAGCTTCATAGTCCTTATTAATGGTGTCTCTACACCCAACAACCCATTTCCTTGCCCCTAGATAAACTCTAAAGTCTCAAATGGTTGTAATCGATATTATTTTTTATCACCCATAAGCTAGACAACACCCTTAACCAATAATCAACACTCAACACCCCAAATCTATAATCGTTCATGCTTTTCTATCAAACCCATCAACTCATATCTCATGAACTAGGGTTTATAATCATTAAACCAATGCTAGAATCAATTAGAGGGTGAAGACATTACCTTTTCGAAGTTCAAACCCTTGAATTTCGAGTTTAGGCTTCCTTCTCTCAACAATGATGACCCAATCGAATATCTAATGATATGGAGGGTTTACCCATGTTAGGAAATTGAAATTAACTTAGAATCGCCATTAGAACTTACCTTGGGTGGTGGAAGGACCCTTAAGGAGTTAGGTTTTTGAGAGTTCCCCTTTCTAGAGCAAGTTTTTATGTTTTGGGGCTGTGGGGGACGAAATATAGCTTTAAAACGACCCCCCACTAGCGCGCCCGTGCTACTGGAGGTTTGCCCGTGCTACTGACCGCGCTAAATGGCAGTAACACTGCCTCAAAATTAGCGCGGCCGCGCTAATGGGCGCGCATGTGCATACTGTTCCGTAAAACGCACATAACTTTTTGCACAGAGATCCGTTGGGGCTCCATAATATATCGTTGGAAAGCTATTTCAAAGGCCTACAACTTTCATGTTTTGACTTTTCCCAATTCCTTACACATTTACACTAAAACTTGATGGAAGACAGACCTTCTGCAAACTTAGTCGATTTTTGTCAAATCTTATGCACCTCTCTTTCCATCTTGATTTTGAAACAACTATTTTACCCATAATCATCCCGATGGGACTTCACATGTTCAAAATATAATCTTACCACTCATTTACAGAATCCTCACGCTCTCACGAGTTCATGCATACCAAAATTGCCAAAATCGGACCTCAATTGGTCCCTCAAATCACCACTCAAAGCTCTCCAATACCAAGCCCTAGTTTCTTCAATATTTACCCACAAATTTCCAAAAATTTCAAGCCTAATCAATGAAATAACACCGTAGGAACGAGTTTTATGATCAAAATTCTTACCTCAACGAAGTTCCCTCTGATTCCCTTTTCAAAATCCCCAAAAAGCTCCAAAAATCGATTTAAAATGGTGAAGAAAAGCTGAAAATCGCGAAGGAGGGTTTATATACTTTCTGGCCCAGGGTTTTCGCACCTGCGGCCCTTCCTCCGCTTCTGCGGTACCGCTTTTGCGGTCAAATGTGCCGCATCTGCGGTTTTCACTAAGGCGCCCATTTTCGCATCTGCGATCAAGAAGCCGGACCTGCGCTACCGCAGTTGCGATCGAGCAGCCGCGTCTGCGGTCCCAGCCCCACATGGCCAATTCCGCATCTACGACCATCTGGGCGCTTCTGCGAGCCTGCACCTGCGGTCCCCTAGCCGCAGGTGCGGTTATGATAGTAGCAATGGAAAATCTTCAGCTGCCAAAACCAAACTCAATTCTTCCGTCAACCATCCGAAATCATCCTGAGGCCCCCGAGACTTTAACCAAAGGCACCATCAAGTCATATACTACTATCCAAACTTATACCAATCCTTAAAACACCTAAAACAACATCGAAACAACAAATTAACCATGGATTCAAGCCTAAGAACTCCAAAAACTCTCAATTTACGCTTTCGATCAAAACGTCTATCAAACCTCGTCCGAATGACCTGAAATTTTGCACACACGTCACAAATGACACAACGGACCTACTCCAACTTCCGGAATTCCATTCCGACCCCTATATCAAAATCTCACTATCGAACCGGAAACTTCAAAAATTCAACTTTCGGCATTTCAAGCCTAAATAAGCTACGGACCTCCAAAACACATTCCGAACACGCTCCTAAATTCGAAATCACCGAACAGAGCTAATGGAACCAACGGAATCCCATTCCGAGGCCGTCTTCACACTGTTCCGACTACGGTCAAAATTCTAAAACTTAAACTCTCATTTAGGGACTAAGTGTCCCAAAACTTTCCGAAACTCCAATTAAATCCTCCTGGCAACTCACAACAGCAGAAACAAATACGGGGAATGCAGTTAATAGGGGATCGGGGCGTTAATTCTTAAAACGACCGGTCGGGTCGTTACATCCTCCCACACTTAAACATTCGTTCGTCCTCGAACGAGCATAGAGATATACTTGAAGTAGTGAAAAGATGAGGGTAACGGCTGCGCATATCCTGCTCC